GCTGGCAGTGGTCTTTCATGGGGCGCATTGCTTGATAGAGATTATAATTCTGATCCTGCAATTCAAGGCTGAGACTAAGGGCACAATTCGGTTTCTCGTCTCCGTTAGTTTTATGCAAATCCACCCTGCTGGTAAAACTTTGAGAGGACCTCGGGTGAATACCACGTGATTCGACAAAAGCTAAGAGCGTATACAAGAATGAATGATTGATTTCCCCGGGCTGCGAGTCCATCGTAGGAGGGCAAGACTGAACACCTGTACGCGGTGTCCTCTACGAACCTGGGAGTGAAATATTTTCCAAGAGCCAAGTTCAGTCAAACTTCGCATTATCGAACAAGTTGGCCCACGAGGCAATGATTCAAACTACTCCACGTCAAATCTTCACTCCCAAAGAGTCCGACTCATACCTAAGCCTCATCAATTCTCCAGGTAAAACCAAGTAAAACCAAGTACATCCTCATTCCAATGACCGCACCTCTTGTCGACTTTCTCTGGCCTTAGCTGGTCGCCAGATACACGCCCACGCCGATATTTACACCCGACGGAGGAAGCAAAGCGTGGCGCATAAATCTAGAAGACAATTCCTTGGGATGGATATGAGAGGGATCAGGACAAGTTGATAAGATGCTGCAGAGGATGGATACAGTCTCGACGGACGTGGAATTTTGAGTTCTAGAAAGGAGTTTTTACAAATTGAGCTTTGTGCGTGCCAAGTCTTCGGCTGCGAGAGTGCAGGCAACACTATAAACAACGCCATGGTTGGATGGTGCGGTGTTACATCGTCTTGGCCGGTCTGCCAAGTAGAGTCTGGATAGCTTGAACACATATCCCACTCGAGACAGTAGATCGCTGGTTCAAATACAGCAAAACACAACCACATTTCTCGCGGCGCTGGTATGCATGGATGACGAAGACATGCTTGGATAACCAAAGGTTTTGAAACGTCCCTTTGGTGGGTACTTACGGAGGAGGTTCGACTGTTTTTGTAAGCGAACATACCTCATAGTGGTATTTGCGAATGAAATCCAGAGTATGAGTGTCTCTAACGTGAAAAGAGTCATCCCACATGTATACATTGCACCAGTCATGTGTCATAGCTAGATAGCTGAATACACCTTAAATGATTAAAAAAAAAAGAGTACATCGTAGATGTAAGGTTTTGTGGACCGTCTCCCGGTGATGTTCTTCGGTATAGTTTGAGTAGCCTGGACACCTACTCCACTTGGGAAGGAGACGCCTCAGACCATATTTCGCGTGGAGAAAAGTAAATGGACGAAGGCATGTCTGGATAACCCAGAGTTTTTGAGAAGTTCCCCTGGGTTGGTATTCACGGATGAGGGTTGACTTGCGGTGGAGAAAAAGCTACCATAACTTCGCAGTGGTACTTGCAAATGAAATCCAAAGCATAAGTGCTGGTTCTTGTAAATTGAGTTATCTATCATACACTTCTCTGATATGCCGGCAAAGACGAATTCTTCACCTTCCAGTGGTGCCGGTGTAATCGCTCAGTATGCTCTGCATATCTGGGATAGCCAAGAAGAATCGCATCCTTCGCAACGGCAGCTTGCTGAGTGTGGCCCAGTCGATTTCGATTGACACATGGGCTAGATTCCATTCCCGGCAGGATTGATCAAAAGTTTAAGTTTGGGTCTCTTCTATTCAGTCTCCTAATAACTTCCCGATTGAGTTTGACTGGGTGGATTTTACGACTCACCAACAACCATCCAAAATCAAAGGTAAAATTCCTTTCGCTTTCAACCTTACTAACATTGTGTGCAGGACTGGGCAATTGCTCGACCTCATTTTAGATAAACACCTCGACCGCGACATCAACATTCTCAACTTTTCGACTCATTCCAAAGACGGCGCGAACGAAGAAGCCTCACCCAGACAACGAACAATGTACGACGAAAGCTGGGGCACCGATGCCTCGGTTTTGAGCTCTCGATTTCGGAATTTCAGCCCCCTCAAATGGGGGTTGAGCGCAATGCAGGGGAGAATTTGGGAAGAACGATGTGTGATTTTCAACAGGCTGTTGGCACAGTTGGTCGGGTGCTGGATGTGCTTTCTAGAAGCGGTAGGTTGGATTCCTAAACGGCCTGTATAAGGGGGGACTTCGGCTGCTCGTCGTGAAAGAGTACAGGAGGAATTTTTGAGGTTTTCCCTCAATATGTAGTCTTAGGATCATGGTGAATGCGTTCCTACCCATTCGACCTGATGCAACTAGCGTGAGGCACGTATTTGGAAAAGTCAGGCACCGGATGGGCTTTGCTGGAAAATGGAGGAACTTATATTCTATACGTCCTCCATGCGTGACACGTCCATGGGGTGGAGGGTGTAAGCCTGGCACGATAATTAATCATCATCATAATCATTTACTGCAAACTGTGATAATCGTCAAAGAAGTGTGAGCGGATGCATATTTAAGTATAGTCAGCTCAAGTTATGCAGGCATCCAAGGTGATCTGTGCGTACATACACCCAAGAAGGACGGTCTGTCTGGTTGAACCTAGACAGAGAACCTTAGTGATTTAGTTGTAATACAAGATTGAGCCAATAACGTTTACACCATGCAATTCTTTTCAACAGTTTGCAGAGATCCGGGGGCTAGCCCTATGTGGAAGGTGCTTATGTCTAAGTAGGCTTAGTAAACAGGCCAAAAGCCCTGCTAAAGCTCCCCTGCAAATTTCAACCCATGGCTATAGGGTCCACTTGCCTGCGTTCTCAGGCAGAATTGTGGAGCGTTGAATAAGTTTAAATTTGGTAAGCTCTAGACTAAGTATTCACGCTTCAATATTCTCGAAGTTTAATTATATTCCAGCACTGTCGCGCTGATCCATTCCAACGATTCTCATGTCCATGACAAGATCGACAACCAGATTTTTGTCTCATGATCTTGGCCCTCTTACTGGTATCATGTTGCCTAAGGCGTGTTTGTGGTTATCAGTTGGGACCGGAGGCTGATTAGACAGAGGGTTTAATCACAGAAATGATAATTTATCAGGTTGTTTGTGTAGTCTGGCTAGGGTTTCGTTCGAAGTCGATCCTCTCCAAAGTAGAAGATTAATGTGGGTTGTTACTTGAATTATTCCCCTGTAGGCCAGCTTGTTAGGTATTGCAAAATTTCATCAAGCATAGCTCTGAGGAAGAACACCTCTCTCAATTTGGCAACTAATGCCGCAAAAAGGGTCCAACTCTTCATGCATGGAAGGCGAAACTACTGATAAGTGACAGAGGGGGATGAAAACTCAACACCTGTCATCGGCGTCCCCTACAAACTTCCAGCTCTCACTTTTGAGCCTGCAGAGTCAAGATTATGTAACTACTTCTTATCTATGGGCTGAGTAACACCCCTCAGAGATACGCTTCTAGTAACTCCTTCTATAATCTAGAAGATGATAATGATAATGGGAAAGATAAGAGATATTGCGATTTCAACCGTTACAGAGGCAGTCGGAGAAGCCCTTGTTATACCCTAACATACATTTCCTACTGATAGACGAACAAAATCACACGAAAACTGAGTAAAAGAATTTTCCGCCCTCAAGAAAAGAAGATTTCGACTCGTCGACAATATCGTCTCTTCCCACCTTTACTTTTGAATAAACTAGCATGTAGAGCATATAAAATACTTGAGTTACTCGACAACCACATGTCTACAATGACCCTTGGATGCTATGCTAGGCTACCTCACGGCAGTTACTCTTGACCAAGAATTTTCTGACATCCTGCAACACCCTTTGGTAGTCCTGCGGCATAAATAAGGCGAGACTGTAGGAGAAGGCTAGGAAGGTTGAGAAACACTCCAAGGTAAACGCAGGTCTGCTGCGCCCGGCTGGCCGAGCTTTCCGAACCATTCAAAAGGCTAGCTATTTCTTCTGATTTAGTCTTGACGCCGATACTAGAAGTGCTCTACACCCTGAGTGATACGGGATAATTCCGTGAGGTTGGTACTGGCTGTGTCAATACTGAGTCAGGCAACATACACCACACTCTGGCTCCTGGTTTGTCAGTTAATGATTACAATGACTTCACACAAGTGTCTCGTGGCTTTGACTAATCAAAAATGTAATATGAGTAGAAATTGAGACTAAAAATACGTGTATTCCTTGCTGAATGCATGATCGCCAATTTATTTAAATATTCCCCCCACACAACGTGAACCAGTCAGCAGTGCAGAATATGCACGGTCGGATTTCCTTCAATTGGGATCTACAACACGAGGCTGGTAGTCACAAGGATAGCTTTGATGAGGCTGATTGCCGCGAGGTTAGTTGTGTAAGGCTGGTAATCAACGCTGTGTTCCCCAACGCTTTTGTAGATTGAAATGATTAACTAACTTTATTTTCGGTTTTGCCCAAGTATTTACGATTATCAATTGGTCCCACGACATTGAGGGTTTGCAGTCTCTTCGCTGCAGCTTCACATTCAAACACAGCTAAAATTTTGATGGCTCGATAGGTACGAATAATGGTATATGGCTGCTGCTAACTTGCGTACAGAAGACTTGCGGGGACATTACCACTTGGTAAAATCGTGTAGGAAAGGGGGTCTAGTGCCCGAAGCAAGAAAACTCCTTGTCCAAACGCAAAGTGGACCTAAATGTCCACCTGAAGTTGCGAACTTAGTGGGACACAACAAATGGAAACGAATTTGGTCGACTTGTTGTTTATACAACGATGAAACCATCGGGATTTGGCAATATAATGATACTAAGGGTGAGTTGTATACGTTCACTTGCTTGTGATTTGAGCTTGCACACCACTTAATAATCTATTTAAGGGATTTATCACTAAAAGGGATTTTTTTTGTAAATAAAACCATCTACCGTTGTGAGACCGACACTTAACTCCACTGAACCCCTAGGTCGTTGAGACCGATACAACACATTTTCTCCTATTCGTTTCGCTTTTCATGATCCTCGAAAACATTGGCGTCTACTATCCTACTCTGGGAGGACGTTGAGTCCTGCACTTTACCTCCTCAGCTATAAAGCGATTCTAAAATGTGAGTGTTTTGGGCTTCTCCCAGCTGAAAGATTGGTTTGTGAAATGTCCATTCTTAGCGGTCTGGAAGTAGATTGGCTTGGCCAAGTCAAGATCTTTGACAATAACACCAGGTCTGAGATCAAAGTTCTTGCGGATGATGTCAACGAGCTCATCCGATGACTTCTGAGATGTACCATAAGTTTCCACGAAAATGGAAAGAGGCTCAGCGACACCAATGGCGTAAGATAGTTGCACTAGTGCTCTGCGTGCTAGTTTAGCATTGACAAGTGACTTAGCGATCCATCTTGCGACATAAGCAGCAGACCTATCGACTTTTGAAAAATCTTTTCCAGAGAAAGCACCACCACCGTGAGCTCCCCATCCTCCGTATGTGTCGACAATGATCTTTCGTCCGGTAAGACCTGCATCACCTTGTGGGCCCCCAATGATGAATAGCCCAGAGGGTTGTATCTGTGGATCTATTATTATACAAACTGGGTATGTGAACATTAAACCTTACGTGATATACAGTGTTTTCATCTAGATACTTTGCGGGTATCACTGACTTGACAATCTTTTCTTTGATTTCCTTTCTCAACATCTCCGTAGTAATGTTTTCGCTGTGCTGAGCACTTACTACAACTGTGTGTACACGTATAGGTACAACAGCACCGTTGTCATGTTTATATTCGATCGTGACTTGTGTCTTTGTGTCAGGTCGTAACCAAGGCAGGCTTCCATCCCTTCGGGCTGTTGCCATGGCGGCATTTAATCGATGAGCTAATTGAAGGGTCAAGGGAAATAGCTCTGGAGTCTCATCAGTGGCATAACCGAACATGATACCTTGATCACCGGCGCCCAGCTGTTCGAGGGCTTGCTCGTAGTGAAGACCTTGCGCGATATCCGGGGACTGTTCTTCGATAGCTACAAGCACGTTGCATGTTTTGTAGTCAAAGCCCTTTGCCGAATCGTCATAACCAATATCCTTGATGGCGTTTCGGATAACTTTCTGGTAGTCAATCTTGGTCTTTGTTGTGATTTCACCAAATACCATAACCATTCCAGTTTTCGTGGCTGTTTCGCAGGCAACCTTAGAAAGTGGGTCTTCTGCTAGACATGCGTCGAGGACTGCATCGGAAACCTGGTCGGCAATCTTATCAGGATGTCCCTCTCCGACGGATTCAGACTAAGGTTAATTAGTAAGTATGAAAGCCATTGTCAGGATGCCCTATTACTGTGAAGAGGAAGGTTCCACTGTTGTGGTGCGACTTAACGCCGTTTGAAGTTATAGCAGACATGATTTATACTTTAAGAGAATGAATCAAATTGGATGTGGACTGAGATTAAGTAGTAGAAATAATCGATGGTTAAAGGTGTCTGTTAGGATTTCGAGTTGGATAAGCTGTATATATAAAGAGTCCGATTAATCATCGAGTGTGTCTAAAGAATGGGGATTGACCCCGGGTTACCTGGGCTGTAGCTGGATTGCGCCACTGACAGAAGGAAGCATTTTGTTGAATTGTCAACATAGGTTACGTGTGGGTCAACAAACAGCTCAGACGAATCCAATACGATGAAGGATTTGTCACCCATAACTAGCGTAAGATTAATCCCAATTCAGCCTTTTCCCTGCAAGGCCTGCACATTGCCAACCTATTCCCTGCCCTTATGATCTCAGCCCCTGCTAGGCTCATAGCTCATTTCATGTAAAAACCCAGGGAAATCGATATCCAGCCGCGCCCATTTAGAGGGGCCAATCTCTCCTGAGTCTGACCCATGGGTAAAAAGACTATCATTACCTGCCCTGTAGCCTCTTTTTTGGAGGGGCCCTGGTGATGTGACGGAGGTCAACAGCACGTTTTGATAAAAGGTGCACAGACGTCGAGATGAGCCTGGCTGTAAACGGGACGCACATATGCTGACTGCGGGTTTCTGTAAATTATTATAATTCGAACTTTATCAGATCACCCTAAATCTAGAATAGGCCTGCTAGCCCGCCCTGTAGCTTAAGACAAGGCAAACCGCATCTAGCCTGTAGCCTCGGTCTCAATGTTCATAGTATAGCCTTGTGTAGTGACCCCATCTCGTTCTTCTGAACATCATACTTTTGAACCTGAATTCCGCCTTCCTAAACCTCCGCCATGTCCAAGTTTGGCTGTCTAGTGATGGGCCCTGCAGGTGCTGGCAAGGTTCGTGTCTTAGGTAACTGAAGTAAGGCTGAAGCGAAGCTGACATCCTTTAGACAACATTCTGTTCATCCCTCATAACTCATCTGCAGCACGTCAGACGGTCTTGCTTCTATGTCAATCTAGACCCTGCTGCCGAAACATTTGTTCATGAGCCAGATCTTGATATTAAAGACCTAATTTCGCTAGAAGATGTCATGGAGGAAATGGGCCTTGGTCCTAACGGAGGATTGATCTACTGCTTTGAATTCCTCCTCGAGAACCTCGATTTTCTCACAGAGGCGTTAGATTCACTTACAGAAGAGTACCTCATCATCATAGATATGCCAGGCCAGATTGAACTTTATACGCATATTCCCATCCTACCAGCCTTAGCGAAACATTTGACTAGAGCTGGAGCTTTACACATCAACCTCTGTGCAGTCTATCTACTGGAGGCCACTTTTGTTGTAGATCGTGCTAAGTTTTTTGCGGGAACCCTGAGTGCTATGAGTGCCATGATTATGTTGGAAGTTCCACACATTAACATTATGTCGAAGATGGATCTAGTGAAAGGTCAAATCGGCAAGAGAGAATTAAAACGCTTTCTAGATCCAGATGTCTCACTCCTCGACGACGAAACAGAAGAGTCTCTAGAAGAAGCAGATACATATGGAGCACCTTCCAATTCAAGAATGCTCATGAATGGAGCAAGCTTTAGAAGCCTAAACAAAGCAGTGGCCAAATTAATCGATAGCTTCAGCATGGTCTCGTATCTGAAACTAGATTTACAAAATGAAGATAGCATAGGAAATATTTTAAGTTACATTGATGATGTGATACAGTATCATGAAGCTCAGGAACCAAGGGAACCAATCGACGAAATTGAAACAGAATACACTGATGATAACTTTTAGGAAATGCTACTAAGGGCAAAAACTGAACGATGATCTATGAGGCATGAGCGTAGGCGTTGACTTCATCCGGGAAGTGGAGATTGATATCTATAGTTTTCTAGTGCCGAATCATTCACATCTGACGAGTCTTGGTGAAATACTAATGAGATATTGACATTCATCTTTTCATGGTAAAAGTGCATGCACACAGTTGCCATGAAGTTACTTTTTTAAGCCTAATCTTCAAACATTTTTTGACCAGGAAAGATCCTGACAGGGGAGGCTATAAAAACCAGAAAAGTTATTATAAATACAAATGCAGTGCAGATTTTATGAAGAGTGTGCAAATTATCCTCATGATTCTGTCTGGGTCTGAGCTGTTTCTATGAGCTCATAAACTACACTGGATCTACGGCATCTTGAAAAAGTGTATATACATTCAAGCCCGACTAGATAATTAATAACCTGATCGTATAATGTTGTGCATGCCGTTGGAGACAGGGCTGCTTACTTGTCGATCAGATTGCGTAGAAGGTTGAGCACGAGCACCTCAGCGTTGCGAGATCCCCTTTCCTAGGTTATAGCCAACTTGACTTCGCATTCGCTCGCCCCGCACGACCCTGCGTTGTTTGATCCATGTGGTTCTCCCAGCGCGCATATTCCCGACGGTAGATGATCATAATTTGCCGCACGCCAGTCTCGATATCATGCAGTGATGCAGCGAGGCCACGCTGCCAGACAAATGCGATAAGGGCTGCCATAGCTGTCCAGAAAGTAAGCCGCAGCATAAGACGCACCCAAAAAGCTATTATGCTCCGCATCCATGAAAGAATCTGGATCATGAGAAGCATAACGACAACGAAAATGATGAAGGTGAGAAGTGCTGGCGTAGCGGACGTAAAGTGCGCGACGCTGTGAATGCCCTGACGGAGGAACGGTTCGAACTGATCATAGGCGCATGATAGCCAGAGCCAGGCTTTTCTGAGATAAGGTTCGGTAGTATGGCAAAGCTCAAGAGCTCGCAGAACAATTCCTTCTACACAAGTCAATTCAATGTTTGTGTAATCGCAACAACGAGCTGTGGTGCGGCGCCACATGGAGTTGTACCTTGAATGAATTCCATCACGCAGACACAACACTGGGTGCTGTGACCATCTAGATGCCACAGACCTGAGAAATGGGAAATGTTCGATGGTCAAAGAGTAACTTAATCTATGAAGTAAAGGTAGAGAGCGACAAGGGCTAACGTGTGCTGGAAATATTTGACGGAGGATCCCACGGGATTCGAGAAGGTTTTGATACAACGGTACGCTGGTTAAGGTTTACGTGGCACGTGTGCCCCGCTACTACCAACGGCTTTTCCATGCGAATGGGGTCGAGGAAATTGAAAAATTGTCAACGACGGTATGCTATCCAATGGAATTAATTATGGCTCGCAGCTAGTCACAGCATTCTTAGAATCTAGATATGAGATTATTTCGGAAGATGCTACTGGTAACAGAAAGCTATGTCCTCAGCACACTGGATTCAGTGTCATTTGACTACTTGGTCTAGTCTTAAGTCGTTGGCCTCATTCTCACAATGAAGCTAATCCGCTCTTATGAAATGTTTATTCACTGACTACAGCTATTATTTTCATGTACACTAAAATTCTATGTTTAGTCGCTTCGACGGATGCCATAATTCTTTATGGCTTTGAACGGGTCTGGATGAAGTTGAATATTCAGATGCGGCTAGTCGAGTGTGAAACTTGAGTACAATGGTCCACAGCCTGCATGAGGAACTTGTAATTGACCAAAGAATCGTAGTTCATGCAGAGGTAATGAAGGAACTGCGAAGTAGTAAAAACAAGACTCTCTGTCCAAGAACGTACCCGGAGGGCAAAGACTGAACACCTGTACGCGGTGTCCTCTACGAACCTGGGAGTGATATCTTTTCCCAGAGCCAAGTTCAGTCAAATTTCCCAATACTGAACAAGTTGGCCCACGAGGCAATGATTCAAACTACTCCACCACATCAGTTTGTAACTCCCAGCGAGATCGAGTCCTACCAAAGTCTCATCAAGTCTACAAGTACGACCTAGTACATCCTTACTCCAATGACCAAACCTCTCATTGGCTACTCTCTGGCCTCAGCTGGTCGCCAAATTTACGCCAACGCCGATATTTACACCCGACGAAGGAAGCAATACATGGCGCACAAATCTGGGAGACAGTTATTTGAGATGGACGTGAGAGAAGTCAGGACAAATTCACAAGATGATGCAATGGAAGGATATAATTTTGATGGGCCTGAATTTTGGCAAGAGTTTTACGAATCGAGCTTTGTGTGCGCCAAGAATTCGCTTGCGAGAGTGCAGCTGACACTATAAACACAAGCCGACGATGGAAGATGCCGTGGTCCGCCTACTGGTGGTGTTCTCCGGTATAGTTTGAGTAGCCTGGACACCTACTCCACTTGGGAAGGAGACGCCTCAGACCATATTTCGCGTGGAGAAAAGTTGATGGATGACGGGGGCATGTCTGGATAACTCGGGGATTTTGAGACGTTCCCCTGGTCGGGTATTCACGGATGAGGGTTGACTTGGGGTGAAGAAAAAGCCACCATAACTTCGCAGTGGTACTTGCAAATGAAATCCGAGGCATGAGTGCTCTTCTTTTAAATTGAGTCATATATTATACACTTCTCTGATATTGTGTCATAACTAAATAGCTGCAAAGGCAATTAACATCTGATGCAAAAAAAAAAAACGGATCGGATCAGGCTGTTCTCCATTGCTATTAGGAAAAAAGTCGTTGATGTGTCTGGGCACCCCGTGTGGCTTTGTTGTCCCTGCCTCGGTTTGTTTAGGCTAAAGTTTTTCGATAATTTCTCTCTTTTTTTGCGATAATTTCTCATGAGTACAGGATTCCGTAGGAAATGAGGTTGAAATCTTCGAGCGTATACAAATTTACTATCAACTTTAAAGCTATTTAGATAGTTTTAGCTATCCTTCATAGTCATAGACTCAGTAGGGACATTAATAAAATTCTATTCTGTTCTATTCATTGAGAAGGTGTCGAATTCCATAGCCGTCCGTCATGGGCGATATGTCAGAATCCTTATTTTCGTAGCGAGAGAAGAAGTGTGCACTGTACAGCGTGTTATCTAGGTCAGAGAGGAGCCTGATGAGCTAGGTAGTGTCAGGCTTGAGTAGCTCGACATGCTCAACCCAATCGGCCAAGTACACAATTGCTGGTGTTTTTAAAATTAAAGCTCTATGGTAACTGATGATTCTAGTTCATCCCAGAATCGACTTGATCGGCCTCATTACCAGAGAGCGGGTTGACGTTGTGCCTAATTGACCCGCAGAGATCATCACATATTAGTAAAATGACAAGTCTCGTCGCCTAGGCAATCATAACTTGTATGTGTCGTAGAGCCATCTACTCACTTTGATAGGACGCCAAGCATCCGAGTTCAAAAACCAACCAGTAAACATCGATACCTTCTCTGCCAGATTTTAGGTAGCCTAGTCTCCCTTCATACCAAACCGTTAATGATATTTGCACGAGAAACACTCACACTGCTGCCTTGGTATTGACGGTCTATTTCGGCTACACGCTCATATTTGGTTACTTTTTTTCCCGCAATTTTCTGTATCTGAACGTTCAGTTTGGAAATGAGACCTTGACGTCCCAAGTGGCATACCTGTCGAGTGCTCTGATCCCCATGAAAGCAATGTACCAGACATTGACTAGCACCCAATTTCCGAACAAGTGTCAATAATGAAGAGCGCGAACCTAGAACTCACATATTGTTTTTGAGTCTAGGGTTGTCAAATTGTGTCACCTGAATCAGATAACTGCACCACGTGGGCGTGACATAACCTGACTGATCAAGACAGATCTAGGCCGAATGCCTAGCTGCCGTGCTCTACATTATGGCCTCCCACGCTTCCAATGTTACTACCAGTCTATCTAAGCGGCTCCTCGACTTGCTTCGTCACCACCTACCGCAACTAGCCCTAGCCATAAGGATAAAATTTGTCTCCACCCGTCCAGCTCGCTTACTGGGACAGGTGAATCCCTTACTAGTCTAGAAATAGCCAGCGCCCAACACTGCTCTAGAGATTCATGAGTCTCGGGAAACCAGGCGGCAGATGCTCTAGCTGAGCCACTCAGTCTAATTGCCGTGCCGCTCTCCACGAAAATAGCAAGGCCTAAAAGACAATTGTTTCGGATACGCGAGACTAATATTGACCCATTCTGGGATGAAGAAGCAATCTCAGAATTAAGGAACTTGTTAAGGAAATAATGACTCCTCAGTCATTGGGGTCGTAGAGCGCATTGATTCAAGAAACTATCGATGTGAAACTGAGTACAGAATTTGCAGTCACGTGTGTACCAACAACGCGGCCCACTTGATACCCCCAATTACTATAAATTCTAATAGAGCTACGTAATGTTTCCAGTCCAAGAACAAGCCTAGAGTTAACAAGTTTTACCCGGCGCGAATTTGGGGTATTGGATGTGGCAAGTCCTGGATAATGAGAACTCACCCAACAAAAACGGCAATCCTCATGTTGAAATCTTCCGTAGATTTGCTCTTGTTGCGATGAAAAAGCCTAGACCACTTGTAACAGTCTTGCACAGATAACAGACGTGTGCGGCATGCGATGAATGCTCGAGAAGTCTGACGCTGCTCTCATCTTTGGAGGATAGATCGGGCTGACGAGATATTTTGACTAGTTGGGAAGAATCTAAAAAGTTTTCTGTCCAAAGGGTTAAATTTTGCGTAGGACTACTGTCCGATTGGGATGTATATTTATATATATATATATATATTATTCATTATCCTAATTTGGCGCCTTGAGGCCCATGCAGGTTTTCACAGAAGATATGTACTTTAAGCTGACTCAATTTGACGTTTAGAACACTCAAACTCAGATTTCATTTGCAGATATCACTCGAGGTTAACCTCTTCCTTGCAAACCTACCACATGAAAAAGCATGAAAACCCTATGATTATCCCAGTGTGCTTTCATCATGCCACAACTACTATATCAACGTGAGAGATAGTTGAGTATGGGTTCTACTGGATTCGAGCCAGCTTTCTCCTGTCTGAGGGGGAATATTCTCAACAACTGCCAGTGTTATCCCCTACGAACCTCCAGCTATCACTGTAGAGTCTGCAGAGCCGAGATTGAGTAACAAAGTCCTCACTTCGACGAAGATTCCCAATCGCTTTCGCAGTCTGTATCGTCTTCATCTCTCACCACATTCCCCTATCACCACTATCATGAAGCTAACCACGATCAGATCAGATGGTAGGGTCGGAGCCCTTCTCATCACCAACCCTTGATCATGGAGGAGATGCCACCCGATGGGTTTCCGGAGCGTACCCAGCACCCGATACGGAGATGGCGGATTGGATCAAGTCGACCTCAACTGTTACAAAGGGAGATACAGATGAATATGCGCACCTCATGTGGTCCCGGTGTCTAGGCCTCGCCTGGCTGGGGCTGCAGGTTTTTTCAGAATTTTTCCCGCGCACGCAGTTTCCATTGCTACCTTTTTTTTTAGGGTAGAAGATTCCATGGAAAAGGTGGTCGAATTCCACGGGTAAACACTGAGCTAAATGGATATTCATCACGAGCAATATATCAATGATCCTTAAAGAAACATGAGAGGCAAGGAGCACTGGACAAGGTGTGGCCTGGGTCAGAGAGGATCCCAATGTGCTAGATAGTCATAGACTCAAGTAGTACAATAAACATCACTCATTCACTATCTCTCCTGTCTAAAATGGGGTAGGTGTAATAAGTAGCCTAGCATAGCACGTGATATTACGCATACACTCTTACCTAGCTAGCGCACTAGAGATTAATTCTAGCAGGAATCACACTCCACCACCTTCTTTCGGCCCGTTCAGGGCACGGAGATTTTGAGAATTACCATGAGAGATTTAACCATACCAGCTACTCACCGTGCATTTGTGGGCGAGCAAAGTCCCCTATTCATTTTTTTTTCTGCCGCTTGAAAAGAGCGACAGTAAGAAGATATACTGGAAAACTTAGAACTCAAGAGGCAATAAATTGGCTATTAGGCACAGAGGA